TTTGCAAAACATATTTTTATCTATTTGCTTTAAAAAAACTCAAAAAAGTTCAAAAATAACGATTATGACATTTGTCACTATTACCTAAAAATTATCTAATAAAAGATATATAATAGATTAAATTACGTAAAATATAAATATATATTAATCATTTTAAAAATATATATTAAAAAATATCAATCAAAAAAATATATTTAAAATAATTTATTAAAAAAATATATTAAAAAATATCAATCAAAAAAATTTAAAAAAATTAGCGATCAAAAGATATATTAAATATAAATTAAAAAAAATACATATATTAAAAAAAAATATATTTAAAAAAATTTATTAAAAAAATCATATAAACACAAAAAATAAAAAATATAAAAAAAATATCAATCAAAAAATATATTTAAAAAAATTTATTAAAAAAACATATAACACAAAATAAAAAAAGTAGCGATCAAAAGATTATCAAGAAAAAAAAATATATTTAAAAAAAAATATATTTAAAAAAATTTATTAAAAAAACATAACACAAAAAATAAAAAAAATTAGCGATCAAAATATATATTAAAAAAAAATATATATTAAAAAAAAATATATATTATATCAATCAAAAAATATATTGTAACAAATTAAGATATATTTAAAATAAATATAAAATAAATTTATAATATCTCAAATAAATAAATAATTAATTTATTAATTTGTAAAATAGAATACATTGCCATGCCCTGCCTACCACTACCTCACATTGCCGAAAATATTCCGGCAATGTATACATTGTCGAATATTTCACATTGCAACATATATATTGGGAATAAATAGGTTATTATCCACTTCAAACCTAAAATTTTGAAAATGTCGAGTGGTAGCACTCCAATTCTAGACCGACGATTTTTTTGAAAATAACCAATAATATTTCTATAAAATTATTATATAAACTAGAAATTTTTCAAAAATATATATTTGGTACCCTACTTATTCAACAAAGGAAAAGTGTCAAAAGGAAAAGGTCCAACCAAAATAGGAAAAGTGCCAATCAAAAAAGGTGAATTCCCAGACTAGTTCAATCAAAAAACGAAAAGTGTCAACAAAAAAGGAAATGGCTCAATCAAGAAAGGAAAAGTGTCAATAAAAATAGGAAATGTGTCGATCAAAATAGGAAAAGTTCCAAAGGCTTAGGAAAAAGTCCGATCAAAAAGAGAAGTGTCAAACAAGGAAAAGGTTCAATCAAAACAGGAATAGGGTCTTTCAAAAAAGTAAAAATGTCAATCAATAAAGGAAAAGTTCTAAAGGCTTAGGAAGTGTCAATTAAAAAAGGCAAATCGTTATTTTTTTGTTCTTATTTTATTTCTAACTGTTTGCAATCTCTTTAAGTCATTTTTAATCTTTACTTTTATTAATCTTTTTTTCTTCTCATTTTTGTTCATTTTTTTTGTCTTTTAAAAATAATTTATTTATTTTTCCTTAATTTTTACTTCTCATTGACAAATATTTTTTTTATTAGTGTTATTTGCATATAAATTATCTAAAAAATTTATATTAATCACTAATAATTTTCTCTCTTCTACATTGGTCTCCATATCTCTAAAATAATTCTTTACATACTCCTTAGATGTTCCTCTCTCATCATGTTCTATAAAACGAATTAATACATCGTTGTTATTAGGATTTTGATTTCCACTTCTTAATTTAATTTCTTGCGTACACTTAAACCTCCTTTGGGTAATATATTTATTCCATTATTGAGATGGAAGTATTTCATATTTGTCACTGTTTTATAGTTCAATTTAATTTAATTTAGCAGTTGTAGTGATATAATTTGATATGCAAAAAATACTAATAAAAAAAAATTGTATGCCAATGAGAAAATAAAAATAAGGGAAATTTTAAAAATAAATAAGTAATTTTTATAAAGACAAAAAAATGATTAAAAATGAGAAGAAAAATAAAGATTAAAAATGACTTAAAGAGTGGCAAAAAGTTTTAAAAAATAACCATTTTTCTTTTTGATTGACAGTTTTCCTTTTTTGATTGCACCTTTTCCTTTTTGATCCGATATTTTCCTAAGTTTTGGTCCCATAATTTGATCGGACTTTTTCCTTTTTTGATTGACAGTTATCTTTTTTTGATTGGGAATTTTCTTTTTTTAAATGGGAATACCTGTAATTTTTCTATCGGGTTAAACCGAATTTTAATCTCATTGCGACGGAACTAAATCACGCCGATTTTAAAAGGTCAACCCACTACCTGGGTTCAAATCTTGATCAAATCAGAGAATAAGTTACTTCCCCCCCCCCTATGTGTGCTTTATGTCATTTAAAGAAAATTTTCTGAAATACTTTTTTTCCAATCTAGATAAAAAATTATACTAAAAGCTAAGAAATTTTTGTTGGTTTTCTCAGATTATTTTTAAAAATATAGAAGATTTTACTGATAATTAATGCCTCCTAATTATAATTTTTAGATAATGCACATCGATATAACTTTCTGATATAATAGTAACTAATTCATTTGAATATTTTGACCTCTCCTTTTTCTTCTTTTCGCATTTTAATAAATAGAAATAACTGCAAAGTTATGATTAATTAAAAAAAAAAATTCAAAATATTTTATTGGATTACATAAATTTGTAATATTTACGAAGAATAAATTATGGAAATAAATCATTAGATCTTCAGTTATTTTAGTTTTTTATTTTTGCTGATTTCACAAGTCTAATTAAACAATATAAAAATTAAAAAAACGTATAATAATTTTCATCATTTTTTAAAATAATACCAGTTCAATTTAAATCACCGTTTTTATGAAAACAGCGCTAAACGCTCCTTCTCAATTTGTAAGCACTTTTACTCATTTTTTCTAATAAAATGGAATTAAATTAAATCAGGATTTTTTGAAAATAAATACAAAATGTTCCAAATCAAGAAAATAAAGATATTCCAATATCAGGAAGGCTTATATTTACATTTTTATTTAATTCTTTCAAAATGTTCGAACTTCTTTCAATATCATAGGTTTAAGATATTTATACCTATAATTACCATAATAGTTTGATAATTCTGAGTAATTTCTTTATACTCTTCAACTTATGTATCAGAATAGTGGCATAGACAGGATTTATATATCTTAATATCATCGCTGTTAAATTTGGCGGCTGAATAGTTCTACGAACTAATTGTAAATTATATCAATATTTCTTGCTTTATTAGTACCAATTGAGTACTTAAACGAGTATAATAGCTAGTAAAAGGAAAAAAACTATTAGTAACAAAATTTTGGCAAATCTATGATTAAACGACTGAAATAATTTATTCCAAAAATTTTATCGATGTTCCTTATTAATTATAATTTAATTCGTTTAGACAGTATAAAGAAAAAGTTTATTAACAAAATAAGAATAATTGCCTAATTTAGGCATTATTGATAGAATGGAAATCTTTTTTCAAAGAAAGAATGAATGTCTAGACATCCATTCTTTCTTTGAAAAAAGATTTACATTTGTCAAACCCAAAATCATTTTTAAATAGTTTCCAGCATTCTAAGTTTCGGTGCATAGTTATGTTTAGGAAGTTAGGCCTTTTCCTATTTAATGGATAAAAAATTATTACATCTTCCGGTGTTTGTAATTTACTTAGTTTACATATAAAGTTTGTTTTTAAATGATTTATACTAGGTCCAGTCGAGTTTTGTCTGTTATAATAGCCCCATTTTTTTTACGGTAATATTAGCTATAAGCATTCTATGATCCAATAGGTTTATATTAGTTGATTCTTTAACGCCGTCAAACAACTGAATATTAGAGATGAATAAATCAATTTGGGATTTCTACCGAACCCTTACGAATTCTCGGTGGCAAAAAAGGGTATTTTCTATTTTATAGTTCTTATTTCTGCAGAAATCAAGAAGTTTCTTGCTATCCTCACTATTCGATTGTTGTATGGTATCATACCCAGTGACATTACTGCTAACATATTCTCCTTCTTACCAATTTTTAGGTTTAGATTGCCAAGAATTATTATATTATATCTATTATTATATTATATCTGCAAGTTAGGGAGTGAGTGGATCTTATCTATCAAAGTCGATGAAGCGTAATCTTTCATATCTATTTGGTGGGGAATTGAAATTTGCTATTATTGTAGGCCTAAAATTTGTGTTTAAATGGAGAATACCACATCTTTCACATATGGGCACGAATTTGATGATGAATTTATGTATGCGTTTATTTATTTTAAATGCTATCCCAGACCAGCTTTTGGAAGTGGTACCCAAGCAAAATATTTTATAATCATTAAAGTTTGCAATGTTATTCACTGGACAATGGGTTTCTTGAATACCTATAATGTTTACTTTCTCCACTTCTAACATCCTTAAGAGAACCGCTAGTTTGTTTTTCATTCCATTTATATTAAGGAACGCAATTTGTAACTTGCCTGTGAATTTGTTCTCCATTTGGTTATTCTAACTTGAATCTAAGAAAATTTTATAATTTGGTTTAGATTAAAGATTTGAAAAAAAGTTATAGTAAAGGAAAATTTAATTTAAAAGAATTTAGCTCTTATCAGTTAAAAAAAATTGAAATATGTAAAAGGAAAAACAGCTGATTAAAAAATATAGGACTTTTTTCTTAAAATATTTGGATTAATATTAAATTTTTCAAATAAATATAAAAAAGTGTTTTTAAAATTGAACGAACGTTAAATTTTAACGCGTTCGTCAAAAAAAGGAAGGCGTTCACTTTCAAAGTTTGTCAAAAATAAAATGAACGCCATTCATATTTTTTCAAAAAAACGAACTTCGTTCAAGAACGATTTCGTTTACAACACTAATGAATAGTATTTATTCTATTCATTGAATACAAACACTATTCATTATCTCTCGCTAAGCAGCTATAATAGTAAAATGCAAAATAAAGAGACATGTGACTACCTAAATATAAGAATCTATCTTTTCACCAAAATGGATAGAACACTATATTAGTCAAACAAATTAAAAAATACATAATTTAGGTTCTTAACAAACACTTGTTCTTGACAGCTAAACCTATGATATATTTGCTCAACCTATCGGAATCGGACTTTATAAAGAAGAAAAACAAATGGTTGTCCAAGTGTGCCAAGTGGATTCGAGAAAACGACGGACCCGATGCTATTATTATTCCTTTCAGCGCTGAATATGAGTCCAAAATAGTCTCAATTATCACATCAGCTGACACCGATGGAGACTGCTATTTGTCGAATAACATCAATTATAGTGTCATCGATAAAATTATTGTCAACGGATTCAAAGCGCTTAATTTGCAAGTCAGTCATCTTTAATTCTCCATTTCATAATCAAGAGGCGTATTTTTCTTGTTTTAATTTGTTTTACTAGGATTTGCAAAAATATCGCGCGATAACACTAGGAAAAAATATCTTGGGAAAAGTATTTCTTGCCTAGGCTATGAAACAAATTTGTAATTTCATTTTCCAAACTTTATATTATTTCTTGAAAATTCTAAGGATAGGGCTGGATTTTGTTTTGTATTTTTTATGATTCTTTTTATTGTCATCTCTTACAACATGTTGTGATTTAATATTTTATTCTAATTTTGCATTTTCTTAGTATATATTTTAAGAGGTTTTGCTAAGGTAGGGTTAAACTTTTGAATAATCGGACTGGGCTTGGGATTATAAAATATTAATTCTCTTCTTTTATTAAAATAAAAATATAATTTTTAAAATTAATCTTTATTTATTTTATCTAAAAATCATAAAACCTGTAGTAATAATTATAAAATAAAAACAGATCTAAAAAAATATACTGTCTCTACAAAATAGATTTAAAAAAACAAAAGGTTTAATCAAAAAAAAATAAAAGTGCTAATCAAAAAATAGAAAAGATCGAATCAAAAATGGAAAAGTGTCAATTATAAAAAATTCTAGTCAATTTTTCTTAAATTATTAGTTTTTTATTTTTTCTACTTAAGTAATTTTTTCTTTTTTAATTTATTTTCTTCTCATTTTTGATCATTCTTTTTGTCTTTTAAAAAATAATTTATTTATTTTCCTTGTCATTTTTCTTTATTTCCCTATTTTTATGCCATTTTAAACAATTCTTTTCTTTTTTTTCATCCTATTTAATAATTTTTTGACTTTTTATTCTTATTTTTTATAAATTAACAGTTATATGAACTGTATTTTTGTGCTTTTGTTATTTGAATACTCATAAAAATAGAAAATTATATGTATAGATATGGTGGAATTTAAAATGAAACAGAATAATTTTTAAGTTGCTTTTTAGATACTAATAAAATATACGAGTTATTATTATTCCAAAATACTACAAATATTATTTGAGGATACTAAAAAATGGAGCATTCAATTAGAACTCTAATGGAATCAAACCTGTGCTACAGACTACAACCTATTTAAAGAATTTAAAACAACCAATTTTAACATCATCATAAGAAAAATCACTTATTAACAGCAATATGATGTGATACTTACAAATAACTAGTAAATTTATGTGCGGATAGTAGGAATCAAAGATGTGGTAATAGAAATACATAATATTTTGATCACAAACACAATATAATTGTAGAAAGATATAATTTTTATCATAATAAAAAAAATGAAAAAAAATTATTAGATCATAAACAAAATCTACTAAAATTTGCCACGATTTCTGAGTTTGGAGAGTATTTGAATACTGTTAAGAGATAAATTCATATTTGGACTAAAAAATCTTAAAATATTGCAAAGATTATTATCCGAAGTTAATTTAGACATAAATAAGGCTATTCAAAAAGTTACTAAAGTAAAAACAGCTATAACACAAAATAAATATAAAAAAAAGAAATTAAAATGGATCAGTTAGAAGATGAACATTATGAATTAAATATAATACTTGAAGCTCTGCAAAAAACACCCTTCTACAACTATAACCCCTATATCTCTACAGTCTCACTCTACATGCACATCACAATTTACCACTGATGAAGTGAGGAAAGCTATCCTTTCCTTTCATCGAGATTCAGCACATGGCCTTGATGGAATCCGTCCTATATTTCTCCAGGACATTACTTCCCTCTCAATATGTTCTCAAACTTCCATTCTTTCCAAAATTACAAACTTTTACAACAAAATCTTAAAAGATGATGTGCCAACCTTTGTTTCCCCTATTCTTTTCGGTGCCAGGCTAATAGCCCTTCAAAAACCCAATATAAGACCGAATTGGCTCGACCTTTCGTCGTTTAGTAGCTAAAATGATTTCCTCTCGAATAAAGCATGAAGCTTCAAATATACTAAGTCCTTTCCAACTTAATGTTGGTATACCTGGCGGCTGTGAAGCTGTTGTTCATCTAACGAGAATACACTTAGAAACCCAGCCAACCAACGAATCTTTAGTCAAAATCGACTTCAACAATGCTTATAACACTCTTTCTCGGAATTGAGCTCATCGAGTATTCTCTTTCCTGGTTACACTAAATTCTTTTATTCATGCTATCAACAGCCTTCCACTCTCCAATTTGATACCTATAAAATTCCTTCGATTGAGGGCATACAACAGGGAGATCCTCTAGGTTCTTTATTTTTCTGTTTAGGGATCAATGAAATTGTTAAATCTATTAACGAGGCATGTTCATTATCATTGCATGCATGGTACATCGATGATGGAATCCTTTGTGGTCCAAATGACGAAATCAATAAAGCTGTAATGATAATCAAGGATGCAGGGCTATCCATTGGTCTATCAATCAACCATGAAAAATCAGAATTTATTCCAATTAATTCATCTGAAAACAATTTTCATAATTTCAAACAGATTACTCTGGAGGAATTATCTCACTTAGGTGCTCCCGTTGGTGGACACACAGCCATATCATCCTTCCTACATTCTACACTCGAAACCCTTAATGAGTTGGCTGACCTATTTTCCCTTCTCCTTTCTCATAAAGCCTTTTTTCTCCTGAAAAATTTCTTCAATATCCCAAAAATTCTTTACGCGCTCTGCTCTACCCCTATTTTTAAATTTCCCACTTCCTTAGGAATTTATGAAAATGGGATTAAAGTCCTAATTGAAAGTATCCTTAATCTAAAATTCCATGAATTAGCGTGGACACAAGCCACCCTTCCTACCAAGATGGGAGGACTAGGCATCAGATCCCCTTCCGATCTTGCCTTAACTGCCTTTATATCGAGCTGTCTTTTAACCAAAAATTTAGTCAATCCTAATTCCTTAAATTCTGACCCTTCCTTTGATAGTGCCATCATTGAATGGAAATCTCGATTCATTGCCGACCACCCAATTCCAGCCAGAAACGAACAAGCAGAAGGACTGAAATAAGCCCATTATTGCAAGCTGCGTCGAATCTCTCCTTTCCAGTATGCAATCATTGGACCGTCCCTTATTCTCCTCCCTGCTTAATGGTTCTGGACATGAGTTTCTCGAAGCCATTCCATCCGCGAACTTACAATTACAATTGACCCAAAATGAGCTAACTCATGCTATAGGCATCCGTTTAAATTGCTTAGTAACCCAACCCCACATCTGTGCCGGCTGCAGTTCTGCTGTTTTGAGTAATGGAAGGCATAGTCTACATTGTCGTTCATGTAAAGGCCGCATCGTTAGACATAACATTTGCAATTCTATAATTCTTAGAGCTCTGAGATCCGCTCAAATTCCTTCTATTCTACCCTCTGGTCTTTTCAGATCTGATGGGAAACGCCCTGACGGGATTTCTCAAATTCCCTGGAAGCGAGGTCAATTCTTGGTCTGGGATTACTCTTGTATTGATCCTTTGGCTCCTTCCAATCAATCCCTTAACATTCTGGAGAACAAGGAGCTTCTAAAAATTGCAAAATATTCAGAGATATCCCAAGATCACTTATTCATTTCCATCATTTCTACTACCTTGACTACCTTTGGGAATCGTGCTCTTTCTTTCTTCAAGGAACTTGGATCGCTAATCCGCAAACTAACAGATGAACCTCGTGAAGGCTTCTTCTTAAGACAAAGACTCGCAATAGCAATTCACAGAGCCAATTACATCAGCTTCATTGGCAGCCTCATCTCACATGATGATTAGAATATATTTTATATAATTTTAATCGCGTAATGAATAATTTATTTATATAATAACTTTTCAATGTTCATTTTTATATTATTAAACATTAATATAATTTTATTTATGTACATTAAAAAAGTTAATATTGATAATAATAAATAATCAAAACAAATATAATAACTACAATAATATATATCAAAAAATTACTTATATGATATAATATATCAGAAAAAGGGATTACAACTACAGAGAAAAATACTGAGGCAGTTAAAAAAACCACCAAAACCAACAAACTTAAAACTATTACAGTTATTTCTAGATTCAGCAACGTAATATTCAAAATTCATTTCAAATTTTGTGGGAAAAGCAATAGATTGGAGATGGACAAAGGAAGACAAAGACACAGGCTTGTTAATCGATCCATTTAAAAAGTTCGAATCACGATCTTTTGGGAAAAATAGGATCGAAATCCAGGATCGACCTTTTTTTTAAAAAAGGATCGCGATCTTCTTAATTTCTGATCGATGCAAAATTAACTAATATAAAAATTAATTCTTCTTCTCCGTTTTATGGCGATTTCCAGGTTTACCCGGGTAGGCCAGTTTTCCCTCTGATTTTTCTTTTCCATTTTTGACGGTCCTGAGCATCAATACTTGTAAGATTCAAGCTTCTCATATCCGCCGCTATCACATTTGTCCACGTCATCTTGGGTCTTCCTCTAGGTCTTGATCCTCCTACTTCCATCATTGTGCATCTCTTTACCCAGTCATCTCTTGTCATACGTTCCACATGCCCAAACCATCTTAGTCTATTTCGTCGCATTACCATACCAATCATTTCTATACCTAATCTTGCTCGCAATTCCTTGCTAGTTTTTCTCTCTCTCAGAGATACCCCACACATCCATCTAACCATCCTCATCTCTGTTCTTTCTAATTTGGCTTCGTGAATTGCTTTCATTGCCCATGTTTCACCGCCATAAACTAAACAACTCCTCACGCAGCTTACGTAAACTTTCCCCTTTAACTTCAGAGAAACTTTTTTATTTGTAAGAATAGATGACATCTCTCTGAACTTCTTCCAAGCTTGTCTGATCCTTGCAACAACAGCAGAATCTACACCACCATCTGCGTTTAGCATATCACCTAAATAACAAAACTTATCCACTTTTTCTAGGATTAACCCATTGCCAATATCCAGACCACCATTTTTTAGGTTATCATTATTATGTATCCCTTTCATGCATGTTTTACA